TTACTCTGTAAATCAAGAAATGTTAGAGTAGTTCGACTTAATAAGACAGTTTCTAAGTTCTCATGTAATGTTTCTCTACCTCATACAACAATTGTTGGTTACATATTTTATGAATACTACATGTAATAAAGCGATCGAGTTCTGTTTTCAAGATTAAAGCCTATTTTACTCTGTAAATCAAGAAATGTTAGAGTAGTTCGACTTAATAAGACAGTTTCTAAGTTCTCATGTAATGTTTCTCTACCTCATAGAACAATTGTTGGTTACATATTTTATGAATACTACATGTAATAAAGCGATCGAGTTCTGTTTTCAACATAGAATTAGTCAAGACAAAAAAGCAACAACATTTTGATGAAATAATGTAGAAAACGTATATTTGTAAAAGATCCAATGATCAATACAGATTTTTAATTAAAAACGTCGTTGTCACATTATATTTTCTGTAAGTATAATTGAAAAACACGTTAATATTGTTTGAAATTTTCGTCTGTTTCACAAGTGTGTATATATATTTAAACGGATTTCATTCCTGATAATATTATCTCTGAATAGTTGGTTTGAAACTAGCAAATGGTAGACATTTAACTCAAACACAGTTACAAATCTTTGTATCACTGGTTCTGGTAGAAATGTAATCGACACTGCAATATTAGTCTTTTTTTATTCATTGAGATGTTTAAGAAGTTATTGAAATAAAACATTTTAATTATGGTAAAGCGTTCTCGTATTTTTAACATTCCGTTTAATCTTAGTTTTTAAAGAAACAAGATTATGTGTGTTTCAATGCAAACTGAGTTTATTGGCAAATTCACAGCAATTTCTATATCTTTTCTTTATAATTCCCTTAAAGTATATCATTATATTAATTACTTGATATAAGTAACTCATTGCCTCGCTACATTTAGATATTGTTTTTATTGTTTCACTAGGTTTAATTCAGTATTGAAATAACTTACAGTAAAATTCTAACCGTTAGTTTAATAATTTTTACTCAATTTATTTTTATTTTTTGAAACCCTGAAAGTATTATTCAAGATAACACTTTGAGTATACACCTCTGTACTCATCAAGGCATGTAACCAAACACATCTTACTGGTGGGTAGCGAAACTTCTAAAGATATTCTGGTCAGAGGAGACTGTTTTAACAAACTTCTTTTATGTGAGCGTTTATAAAACTGTCTACAACTAAATAAAAGAAACGTAACGTGCAGTCTTAAATGTTATAACTATATATTTCATGTATAATTAAAGCAAACATTAAGACGAAAGTAATATTGTTGGACTTTTCTTTATGAATCAACATGTAGACCGGCCTAATAAGAAGTAGACAGAAACATTGGTTTATGACAGTTTATTGAATTTTAAAACAATGACAGTCTTACTGAACATTTCTCACACTATGAATAGTAATTAATAAAGGCGTTGTCTATTGACCTCAGTGCAGTAGATGTTCAAGATGTTTGCAATTGTCCTCAGTGGAGTAAATGATCAAGTTATTAGCCATCAAGCTCAGTGCAGTAGATGTTCAAGATGTTTGCAATTGTCCTCAGTGGAGTAAATGATCAAGTTATTAGCCATCAAGCTCAGTGCAGTAAATGCTGAAGATGTTGGAAATTATTCTCAGAAGTGTTCAATATGTTGAACATTTAACAGTACAATAAATGTTCAAGCCATTGGTCATTGAAATTAGTGTAATTAGTATTCTTCATGATGCTCGATATGTTGTTCATTAACCTTAGTGCAGTAAATGTTCAAGATTCTGGCCATTGTCCTCAGAAATGTTCAAGACGTTGGCCATTGACCTTAATGTTGTAAATATTCAAGACGTTGGTCATTGAACTCAGTGCAGTAAATGTTCAAGACGCTGATCATTGAACTCAGTGCAGTAAATGTTCAAGACGCTGATCATTGAACTCAGTGCAGTAAATGTTCAAGACGCTGATCATTGAACTCATTGCAGTAACTGTTCAAGACGCTGATCATTGAACTCAGTGCAGTAAATGTTCAAGACGCTGATCATTGAACTCAGTGCAGTAAATGTTCAGAATGTTGGCTACTCACTTCATTGAATTTTTTCTAGAAGTTTCTCGATATTGACCACCAGCGTTGTGAATATTTCCGGACTAGTAGAATTTATCGAACTGGTAAGAAAAGTAATGGTGTGTATACAATAACATATATATATTTCATGGAAACCTAAAAGTATTACCTACATGTATGTTTCGATCTCTTTTTTTTTATTTGACCTTTTTGTATATTTTATTCATAAAGGTAAATAGCACAAAACTAATCAGTTACTTTCCAAAAGCACAGTTTACTTTCCCTCGTTGTCACAATTGTAACTGACAACATTTTATATTGTAAGTTCAAGTCTGGTTGTTCATCCTTTTGTTTGTTTTCGTATATCTACTGCTTCTCCATTTTGATGTCCTTGCACGATCCTTTGCTAATTCCTTTAGTTTCTCTTCTTCACTGCCTGTTGCTATCATGGCTGTTTGCGCAAGCTTTGTTAAAACGGTTTCTCCTGCATTGCTTCTCCCCTGCCTGTAGGTTTGCCGAGAATATCAACGCGGCAACTGTAAAAGGACAGAAACTGAGTGCCGCTTCGCTCACCCCCAAGAGCACGTGGCTGTGGACGTTGTGGAAGGCATGGTGACAGTCTGTATGGATTTCATGAAAGGAAGGTGCACGCGGGATCCATGCCGCTACTTTCACCCTCCGCTTCACTTGCAGTCACAACTAAAGGCTGCCCAAAGTAGAGTTAACACCGCTTCTATGGTAGGCCAATGTTTCACTGCCTTCCTTTGACCTTCTGCCTTGTTTTCCAATTCCTCCTTATTTTATTTTGTTATTAACTATTTGTTAGTAAATATTTTGCACATGTTTTCTCAATGTGGTACCTTTACTTGAAATAGAAAATTGCCTTAAGAGGGCCAAAGCTTTTAGTATTAGTGTTTTTGCTTTTGTATGATAATTTATAAATGATAATACTTTATGCTGCCCTATGCTAAAATACGTTAAATATCTTGACGTATCATGTGATGAATATCTAAGAACACTCTGAAGTATAAGCACTAACTTATCGTATTATAACATTAGTGTTATAGATTATAAACTTTTAGATGTTTTATGTAAATCTAATTGTTTTCGATTGTATATTTTATGCGAATTATTCCAATAACTACAGTCTCGTGAGGATTTTTTGTGTTTTTGAAAAACAAATTGTTACTATTTTGCTTTATATCGTATTTCTACTTTTATGTTGTTATTCTTACTTGTATGAGTTCAGTAATAATTCACTATCGTCGTTTTCGGCTAGTTCACTGCTCTAATAATAACTACCAATTAAATACATTCCGGAAATATATGGATATTTTAAGTACGGATACATTATAATTTGAGATGTTTTAAAATGGTTCTGAGTTGTGTCATTTAACATTACCCTACTGTGTTTTTATGTCACTATGAAATTCACTCTAGTCTGTTCTGATGTTCTTCTGATCACCGTGCCAAAACATGCGACTTTCACAATATAAACATTTAATCATCATATTTTGTAGGATATTAGATACCAATCGCTTCATTAAGATATAAAATACTCTGCTAAATGTATCAATTTCAAAACGTTATTTCATTAACATAGAACACATTTTATGGGTAAAAATGTTACTCGTGTTCATTTTATTTAGTTTCTACCCATATTTCCGAAGTGAAAACACATTTTATGGGTAAAAATGTTACTCGTGTTCATTTTATTTAGTTTCTACCCATATTTCCGAAGTGAAAACACATCCCCCTTATGCCCGTATTCCCTCATTATGCATGTATTTAGTGATACACGATTATAAGTGATAAATTCAAATGTTTCTTTGATTTAGAATTTTTCTTGTAAACCACACAATGGCCACCTACACATATAGGTATCTAATTTTTACAGCCAAGTGTGGCCTAGTGTTTATAATGCTGGACTGTGAAGCCAAGGGTCCAAGATTCGCGTCCTTGCCTCAACATCGCATTTCGCACTTTGAACCGTAGGTGCGTCATAAAAGTGACTGTCAAATCCCATTATTCGGTCAAAAACGATTGGTCCAAAAGTTAGCAGTAGATACAGTTGATCAGCTAGATGCCTTCCTTCTACTTTATCAGTTCCAGAGTTCAGGATATTCGCACAAAGCTACACGGTAAACGTAGGCTCTATTGCATTCATTGCACAAATGCACGCATTACTTGGATTCTTCCCCCAATGATCAGGAAAATTAATTATTCAATTACTTTTCGAGTTCCGTGGCTGGAATTGTCTTGAAATAATTCGTTTTATAGCACTAGGGCTGAAAAACAAAAGTTTTATAAACGCTTCATAATATCTGCATAAACTTTTATATATTTGCATAGTTGCTACAATGGAACATTCTTATTATCATTTTGTGTGTTATATATTTTTTAGAATATGCCAAGGGTTCTTTAGTTATAATAATACAGCACAATTGTATGGCAGGCTCAAGTAAGTAGTGGCTTAGACGTAAAACTTGGTAAACGGCACGAAATCACTGCAACAGAAGAAGATCGTAGAATAAAATATTAAAGTTCCTAACTTTGTTGAATATGAGTATCCACACTGGATTAAAACAGGTGTACAACTATATAAAAAACTTAGAAATTCTGCTCATGAAAACGATTATCCACTAGGTGACGCCACGAATCGAAAATTTTAATCGTAATTTATCAAACCCTTGCAACTTGTAGTTGGTTAAGTAAAAATCAACAGTAACAGAAATATTTATGTACTTTAAAAACCAATAAGGGTTTGAAAGACCAAACATAGGGTGTACAATTTCACAATGTTCGAGTTCTTAGTTTTGTGTGTGTGTGTGTGTTGTGTTGTTTTTTTTGTTTGTTTTTTAATTTGAGTACAAAAATGGTTTCTTTGAGCAAAGTGATTTGTCTTTCATCCAACTTAAAATCATTCACACTTCTTATTTTTTCCACATCATTTCTAAAAATAAATTAACCCTGGAAAAGATCAAATTTCCTTCTACTGTCATTGTTAATATTTCTCACAGAGTTTTTGATGTGTGTGTGTTGTGTTTTTCATATTCCGTTAAATTGACGTTAGACTCAATGTTTTTATAAAATGCTTCATGATTCGTTCGGGAACGCTTTAGTCAAAAGATTTAATTTTTTATTAGACCGTCTTCAACTCGCTTAGGAAATAAAAGTTAATGTGACATTTGTTTATTTACATTTTGAAAAAGAAAAGTTCCAAAACCTTCGTTTTTCTTCTTTAGGGGTAAATGTTCTTACATTAATTTAGATGGATTATGACAAGTTATACATTCTATCAATTAAAAAAATTATAAAAAATAATTACTTATTCGAGTTCTGTTAATGGTCTTTCATATTTTAACTGTATACCTTTAATTATTATTTTTTTTAACTGTAATAAATTAAGCAATTTAACTGCTCTTGTACATTCGTACTAGTTGTATATTGTTCTCTAACTTATTACCAACACAACTTCTGTACGATAAAATGTGCCTATAGTAGGTATTAGTGCTATTGCTTGTTGCAGCAGGCCTAGTTTTGGAGATGAAGTCAGACTCCTAGATAGCTCAGAAAACTACGTTCTTCATGGGTTGTATTTATAAATACAATTAGTTTGGAGCAAGATTGTGACGTTTCCCAGAAAACATTTAAATATGTTATATTCGTATCAACACAGATCCAAATGTTCATTTTATAATCACGTCCAGAACACAATTGAAACTACAATTTCTAAATCAAGTTTCTTGTGCGGAAGAGAAATGTCAGTCTAAATTGCATGTCTTTCACAATAAAGTATTAATGGCACTACGATTTAAAGTAGAAAATTGCACATTTCTACGCTAACCAGGAAAGAACTACTGGCGTAATTAAATTACGCTATAAGCAGGTGCTTTTACTTCAAATGAAGTGTTTTCGTACGATCAGTATAGCAATTTATTATGATGGAAAAACAAAATCTAAGAAAAGACGACCTGAAAATTAAAAGAATTTCTGAATGATTTCCATCTCGATTCTTAGGAGATGCTGAAGAAAGATACTGAAGGGATGATTCCGACTGGATGTTTGGGGGAGTCGCCCCCACCCCCCAATAATTTACAATTGTAGTACAGTTGATAAATGCTGCTCAACTTGAGCATTTATCAAATTAATCTAAGACTTCTGTACTATATTTGACTATAACGACTGATTACAAGTACAATATACATTATTAGCAGAAACGACGCCCTAAGGGCGGCTGTTCAGTCAAGATCTTGGCGAGTTAAACGATGTGCTTCTCTGTCACGAAACTACTCCAGACTTCTTCTCACTACATCTTGGCCAACAGTTTGATGTATTTCGGGTTTGTTCCTGGCTTCTTTTCATTGGATCTTGCCTCATAACTTGGTGAACGAGCCTAGCTTTTTCTTGCTCTTTATTTCTGTAACTTACATCCTGACGTTTCATTTTCTTTTTCAAAGTTTAGGACTTTCTCCGTGATAAGTCACTCTTCCGTTTGACAATTTTTGGCATCGTGATTTTCGATGTTTTTGATCACTTTATACTCATACTGAAGTAAAAAAATACTTGTGTAACTTACGAAGATCGAGTTTCTACAAAATTCCTGCAAGTTCGTACGCAACGATCTCCGTACGAAGGACTTGCGATTCCTTCGGTCACAGAAAAATTCAATTCATAACGTACGCTTGGATTCACCTGCAGAAAAAGTCACTTTTCTTCTGAAATATCACAATAATTCTCCACTAGGAAGACTCACTTGAAAATTCTGCATTCATCTCACTTTACCACAATTTTGTAAGTTTTATTTTTAAAAATAATTTTGTTGATAATAATAATAAATGTACAAAATTAATGTATATTATTAACAGGCTCTTCACCAGTCAGTGGAAGACATTTTTTGTTCAAGAAAAAAAAACAATCCGATTTTTTCTTAATTTGAACTGAAATTTTTGGGGCTTTTTATTGGCTAGAAAGAAGGCATTTCCTGCACTCTTTTAGCATTGGGACTGCGAAAAGTAACGTAAAGTGGTAAGGTGCTGAAATCCGTCAGCGCATCACGTGCTTAACAGCCAAGCACAAGAAGCATGGAAGTCTTCAAATGACACGCGAAAGTATTCAGGAACCGATTAGAACCACCTTGGTAGATAATGTGCAGCAAGCCGAGTACAATATTATGCCTGTAGCTGCTTTCAAAGTGTTCTTGTCTGCTCATCCTACTGCTGACTATCGTGATGCTTCGATCTTCCTTACCGAATCGCATGTGAAGTCGTTCGTATCTCAGTTGAAAGTTAAACATAAAAAGTTGATAGCAGAAGTTGGCAGTTGCTTAATTAATGATGCTGAGAAGATGGCTTTATAGATATATATACTAAACTTACTCCCAGCGGGTAGACCTTAGTACTAACTAGTATGGAGACTTGAGGATACTGTATTTCACCTGAAAAATTTTATCAATTAACTAACGAAAACTTGTCTCGAAAAGATACGTCCAAAACCATCCTCTTTGGGAGTTTCCAGATTGAACTTTATTTTAATATTCAACAAATTGTAGTGTAAAGACACCCCATGGCTCCTGTGGAACGTGTTAAGAAGGAAAGTGTAAAGATATTCCTTGGCTTCTGAGGGACGTGTTAATAAGGAAAGACGTGCCATTTCTCCTTTAAGGAAGATATTTAGAAAAATATGTTATAAAATAAGCGAGGGCCTATATTATAACATTTATCATATTGTTACGATATAAAGCTTTTAATGAATTATTTATTTTTAAAAAAGTAGACACATGCACTAAATACACTTTTTTATAAGAAACCCAAATGTAATGAAACTTTGTTTGGAACTTCCCCTTTTGATGTTGAAAATTCTTGCGAAGTTTCATCCAAATCGGTCTTAAACTATGGAAGGAGTTTTACGGACAGGCAGACATTAACCTCTTATATGTTTAGATAAACAGGAACTCACACACACGTATGTATGGAAGTTTGTACATATTATGTTGTTTGTAGTGTTTATACGTGTAATCGTATGTTAAAGACTATATGAAATTTCAGGTTTCTGATACTTACATGTATCTTTAGCCAATCAGATTACATACTTACACACAACCAGTTTTTTATGGGAACGGCCCTGAGAATACTTTATGATAATGAGCCTCCAGCACTGTAACAGGGTTTGGAGTATTGCCTGATTTCTAAAGTCTACAACAGACAAGATATTCATAACGTATCGTTGACAAGTGCCCTCTGTATTTAGTAAGCAAGTGCTTGAAAAATTGATAAAAAATAATCAAATTCGATGGAAGTTTTAAAGATTATAGGAGGCGACTAATCTCCCCAATTCGTGTTAAGCCACTGTATAAGATACATATAATTGGAAAGCGCCAAGTATTTGTATCTGTTCTTAATCATAATAAAAAAATAGGTAATGTTACCTCGTTAAGATACTACTCAAACCTAGGCTCTAGTTTAATGTTTTCTTCAGAAACTTCAGTCTCCTATTCTGTTTATTTTGTATCTTTAAATATATATGATTTTTAACCCGATAGACACATTGATAGTGCGAATGTTTTAAACAAGCTAGTTTTTATTACTGTGCGCGTAAGGCGTCTTTGTTACAAATAACTATCAAACACTTTAAACTTGTGTTTAGATATTGGTAGTTAGTATATTATGTCATACCACTTGGAAATGTTACTTTTGTTTTACAGGCTTTTCCTGGTATGATTCCTTGCACCAAAAGGCCAGCACTTGACAAAAGCGGACTCCCCATGTACCAGCCAAGTACCACACCGTATCAACAAGCTCTCACCATGCAGGTTCAGCAGCCCTTCGTGCCTGTTTCCTGTGAGTTACTTAACAATTCGTTTGTTGATTTTATCTATTAGGAATTTATTTTATAACACCCTTATAACAATGTTAGACGCCACTTACCCACATTTTTATGGAAGGGCGGACGCCGTTCACCCACTCTTTTGGGGGAAATGCTTGTATTGTTATTTGTTTAAAACAGTATTTTTGGAAGATTTGAATATTGTTATCTCATCTTAGCGTTGGATAACCCTATCCAATCCACTCATTATTTTATTTAACTGCTTAACCTTGATTTACATATATATACACCAACATTACTCATAAAAACCTAGAGACAAAAAGTTAACCTGGTCTCGAAAATTCAAATTGAATTAAGTATCAACTTTGATATGTCATTAGTTATGTGCACGGCTCTAAGAATCTTTTGTGGAAATAAACAACGAACAATTAATATTGTCTAGAAACTACACTTTGATGTAAGTCCAAAATGAAATAAACCATTAGGAATGATTAAACGTGAATTGTTATTGTTTTCAGATATGCTATTACGATCTGGAAAGAAGTCATTATCTACATCCATTAGATTTGTTTGTTTTACTATTAAGCACAAAGCTACACAATGTACTGTCAGTTCTCTGCCCAACTCGGGTATCGAAACCTGGTTTTTTAGCTTTATAAGTCACCGGGGACACATTCTTTATATACCTCGAGGACAACTATAGACAACCCAACTATAGAAAAACCCAACATTCTCCACCAACTGATAAGAAAGTTATTTAAATGTAGGCCTCTTTCATTTCAGAAATTTGGTCGAAAATTGGAATTTGTCGAATTATTTGTTTTTTTCCATCCACATACTTTTAATATCCGAAAGTCTACATTTTAACTGTTTTTTCTACAAATTCTTCTACAACTTTCTGGAAATTCAATCTTTCTGCAATTGTCAATGGAGAGCGTGGTTTACCCTGTGGAATGCTCATAAGACATAAGTTTTACTTAATTTCAACTTTGAAAATTCCTCTCAGCAGATGCAGCTGTCACCAGCATTCTAAGTAGCATCCTGAGAACGATGTACCATAGAGAGATTGCTACTAAATCACCAGCGTTGTAAGTAGCATCCTAAAAACGATGTACCATAGAGAGATTGCTACTAAACCACCATCGTTGTAAGTAGCATCCTGAGAACGATGTACCATAGAGAGATTGCTACTAAATCACCAACGTTGTAAGTAGCATCCTGAGAACGATGTACCATAGAGAGATTGCTACTAAATCACCAGCGTTGTAAGTAGCATCCTGAGAACGATGTACCATAGAGAGATTGCTACTAAATCACTATAGTGTTCCAAGAGCGTCAGATATCTCTGGGTGAATTGTGGTCAGCCTTTGAAGCTCAAATACCAAATAGATTCCATCTGTTGGTGCCAGATATCGCTTCAGCTAAATACGATAATAATTTTAATTGTTCGTTGAGTTCTAAATTTTGAGTTACTTTCATGTCACAAAGGAGGCAAAACTTATGTATAATTAGAGAGGAACCAAAGAACAAAAATCAATTTTGTGCTGCAATGATTCGAAATCAGCAAGGTGCTTCTTTCATCTAACACAAGTTTTCGGTATATTTCTGGGACAAATAATAATGCTCCTGCCAGTTCTTTAACACTTGCCATATATTATTTTCTCTTTGTTCTTTGCCATTGTCTAGATTACTTGCAATATCACTTCTCTTAGTTAAGTTCTACATTTTCTCGCCAACTAGATTTAGTTATACAAGCACATCAAACCAAATTACTGGTGAAATTATAAATCTCTATGACGCTATCACATCTACCAGTGATCCAGCTTCAGAAAAGGCTGCACAATCGGTTCCTACAATTTCACTAAAGCTATCAATATTCTTTTAGTTTGGTATCCACTGTTTAACTTTCAATTTTACACTCCCACCTAGTATTTGAAAGAGGTATTATAACTGATGTTGCAGAAATATCATAAAATATAAAAAAAAACGAAAAAAGCTTTGACCAGTTTCAAGATTTCCAAATATCATACACTATGAGGTTCTTCGAATGACAGCCACAAGGAACGAAAAATGTCATCTTATGTAATTTCAACAACTGAAATTGCGCCCCCTTGTGTTGGTCTCTCATATTTGTGTCGTTATTGTAACACCTGTTCACGGCAATCTTTGAGAGGTATTCCACGTTTCATAAGATATTCAAAAACAATGGCTTCTCATTGAGTAGAACCTGTGGTATCCTCGATATTGATGAAGGAAATCAAATTTTCTTCAACATCTACCTCTATTCCTTAGATATCCAATGTTATCTCTATTAACTTATTCTGAACTTCAAGACTCAATTACTAAAAACTTCATTTTTATGAACACATTGGCGTGTTCATCGGTTATGGGATAAGACTTTGCTATCAATTGTATTTAAAATAAAATAAAAATACTATTTAGGGGGGTGACTTAGCTTAGCAAATATTCCATGAAAATTTTGATTTATCTCTCTCTCTGCCAAATATCTAACTATTGCAATTAGCTTATTAAATATGCCCGTTAAATGACGCCGTTTAATTTTGATTAAAGTTTGAGCTGCACTGTCTACTGAAGAATTATTTTCAACTAAGTTCTAATTCCTTCCATTTTATAAGACATTCCATGTATAAATTGCTTTACTCTTGAGATTCTAGAGTTGTATAACACATTTCTAGCAGCAAAAACCGTCATCAGGCTATAACCTGAGCAAGTCCATTTTTACCAATGAAACTCCAGTTTCGTCGCCCTGAACCAAAGTCCTACATGCCGAGTTTCGGTATCCTGTTGTTATCCTCGATAATTGTTTCTTCAAAACGTGGAAAATCGTTTTCTGCTTCTTCGATGTGCTGATTGTCACTTTATTTCAATTAATTGTCAATTGTTGCGTGTGCTAATTTTTACTAGGAATCAAAAAGTTTATCGAATACGCCTTTTTTCCATTTTTGGGCTTCTTCTGATTGTTTTCCCTCTTTTCACTGCACGAGAATTATATTTTCTTGGCCTTTCACTAAATTTGTAAATAAGTTTATATTTAAATAATCATCAAATAATTTAAATATTTATTATATTTCCCCTTGCTAGGGGTGGTTCTCGACCTTAGCTCACCTCTCGGTTTTGTTTTGTTTTGTTTTGAATCATTTGCCAGCTGTTCAGCGCAAGCTCTGGTTTGTTTGTTTTGAAGTTCGTGCAAAGCTACACGCTAGTCGTCCATAATTTAGCAGTGATAGACTACAGGGAAGGCAGCTAGTCAAAACACCCGCCGCCAACGCTTGGGATAATGTTTTAATAACGAATAGTGAGATTGATTGTCACATTATAACGCCCCCATGGCTGAAAAGGCGAGCATATTCGGTGACCTTCAAAATAAACAAACAAACAATCCTTTATCACAGAACGTTTGTTTGCATATTTGTTCTTTAGCACAAAGGTACATACTGGGATACCTGCATTATGCCCACCATGGGGAATCGAACCACGAACTTACTGCTAACCCACCGGGGAACCAGAACTTTTGTAGGCTATTTTGGAGAGGACTTACTCTTTATCCGATGTGTGACTTAACTGATTTGTGCCTGCAATAACAATGACTACGATAATAGTTACATTTAAGCTATGTGGGCTGCGTGGGTTGTCAGGCTCTTATGCAAAACAAGTTAAATAAAAACAATATAATTATTGCGTATTCTATATGTCAAACGTGTAAGTTTTAAAGTTAATATTTAAATATCAAAATTAATTTGATTACTAATTTTTGTTGAAATGAATTAACACAATAAATTAAACATAATTAATTTTTGTTAGCCTGGTGAAACGTTGTGAACAAAATAAGCAAACGTTTTACTGTGTACAACTGATAAAAACTTTTGTGAATTAAAAAAAACTGTTATTTCTAATACTTAAAACATAAGGATGACACAAATATTTTATATTAGATACACCGTATTTTTTTTAAATTTAAACCAAATAACTCATAACTTTTGATATGGTCGAAGTGCTGATTAGATCAAGAGATCTTGGAAACTGTATCAATTGCCTGGCAGAGGAGACTCGTATTCTAAGTGTCTCATTTTAAAAATCATACATACATAGACCTGTGCGTGTGTCAATAGATTGACAGACGAAAAAATAGATATATGTTGTTGTAGCAAACTAGATTATTACTTCTGACTTTTCGTCTCGTTTCGTTTCAGTTATCATCTAAATCCATTAGATATGAGAATGTAAGTTATAATATACTTTGGTTCTGCTATTATCAGTAGTCCTAACTAAACCCATAACTGCATTAATACCATAAACCTGGCTTCATAAGCTAAAGTAAGAAATCTCCTTAAGCCTATTAAATGTTATGGATATTATGCAGGTCTTCGCATGCTTCAACCCGGGAAAGTGTGCATATAAGATTTTAGGTACAGTAAAGGTTTTTCGCTCAAAACCAGAACTCATCAGGTAGGCTGGGCCTAAATATAGCTGTATAAATATACATATGCAGCTAAACTTCTGCTGTTTCTTTAAATATAAAATTACTAATGGTAGTTTGTTTTGTGCAGATATTTTTTAAAAGCCTTTTAACTTTTTGTCTTACGAAGATTAGTAAAACTTGGATGGGAAAATCATGTTTATAAAATTACTTGATACGTAACGTTGATTATAAAAATCGTGTTATGCCTCTTTAATTTACAATACTTTTCTCCAGGCATTCTGTACACTGGTAGAGTATGTGTTTTGTCTTACAAGTGAGTTTTATTTATTATGTTAGAAAATTTTCGTTTTTGTATACAATCCGGGTCTTTAACCTCGCGTGCAATAATAAACAAATCATAGCCAGGCAGAATAGCTCAGTATCTTTCGCAGAGAATTCTATCAAAATAATAGAAAAAGAAACAGGATGTTAAGTTTCGAATAAGAAAGAGATGGAACATAATTAGAATATTTACTTTCTATGTAAATATATATGGAAATTTTATGTATTCTGATATTCACATTCTATAAATGGGTTTGGACCTAAGCAAATGCGTACTTGTCAGCTAACGTAGCTGTGACATGAGGATTGGAAACCAATCCAACAACCGATTATTTAGATGCAAACAGGAAAGCGCGACTTCAGTGGTTATTAAAGTATAAACTGTTGTCGTTAGATGTCTAGAAGCATGTAGTGCGGTCTGATACGTCTCGTTGCACCATTTTTGTACTGATTATAAAAGGAAAATATAGGAGTGAAACCATATGAGTCGTGTGGTAAAATATGCTCCGGGTGGTACAGTGGTGTGGGGGAACGTTCCTGTGGCAAAGGTTGAAATATTTGATTCTTTTAAAACTCAATTGCAATCTACAGTACATCTACTTGCTGTTGTCTTATCTCCAAAATTATGCATTTTACAGCACGATAATGGAACAACTCTTCGTGTTCATAAAAGCCACCAAAAGAGCACAATATTGATTTCATACATTTGTTGGTCAATATTATCACAGGAACTCAATCACATTGAGCATCTTAAAGATGAACGTGAACACTGCACTGTCAAAAAATTACAATCACCTCGACTAATGGGCTACAATAAAACAAAGATATCTTAAACCAGTTTGTGGCGTCTATGTCACCCAAGTCGCACGCTATTATCATGGGAAAAGGTAATATAAACCAAAACTGGATGGATGGCAAATCACTGTAAAAATGAGGTTGAAACTAAGAAAAGCCCACAGTAGTTCAGCAATAAGTCTAAGGGCTTATAATGCTGAAATCAGATTTCAGTACTCACAGGGGGGCACTGAACAGATAGCACATTGTGTAGCTTTGTGCTTAATAACAATTGTCAGAATTTATAAATATAATTCCTTTCACCAATTGTCAGAATAAAAGTATTTTACTTATACTTCTTAATAGTATAAATACATACTATGTTGTTGTTGGAATACGGATTATTCTACAGTAGGTGTCTGTGACTTGTTAACGATAAATGAGCAGCACGCATTTCACTTGTTTTCAAAATAATATATATATTCCAAACAAGTTAGACGTATGTACAACAAATTCTTCAACACTATAGAGATTATAGGCATAACATAAACACTATATATATATAGTTCTCTTCTTGTTGTCAAACGTCCACTTAGACCTATTCAGTTACTTTAGAGTTTCAGTTCACAAGCCGATCTATATTCTTTGTTACTATCGCACTGGTATTCTGTGTGTGATTCACTTACAATTGTGGCACGAGTTTCCGTAATCGTTTGGTCTTCTTTCTTCTAAATATCCTCTGTTCCTTTTGTCAAAGTGCACTCAGGCTGATTCACTTACTTTAGAACCACGCTGTGACGAAGTAAATTATTATTATTATCTCCTTTTCTACTGTTAGTTTCACTTTATCATATTAAACGTTAGGCCTATGTTAATCTTAGGCCTATCACTTCTACGGTAGTTAACTTCATGCCGAACTTTTCCTTGCCTGTAACTTTACTCTCTTTTTCTATTGTCTGTCTGCTGTTTCCGCTCGTCTCACAATATTTATAGGTTTATCACTTAATCGTCTGTCCGCCTTCTAGAAATCTTTATATTCTCGACGTCAATGTATTGCACGCGACGTTCGATAGTCTCAACATCAATGAATTATAAATACAACTTCCTGCAATCGTCTGTTTTTAACTCTTATTGCAACAAAAACTAAACAGTAATAAAATATTCACTCACAAAAATAAATGAATCAATAATATCTAAACTAAACAGTCTTTTATATCATGACAACAATCAAGACATTTTAGATGTGTCTTTCTGAGACGACAGCAAAGCAGTTTTTTTAAACAATTACATATTGTATATTGCAAGAAGTATGATCTAAAATATTATCTTCTTATATATGTTCTTTAGCTTTAAATTAAGTCTTTGAAGTTTTTTTTCCTTTTTAATTAAAATACTTAATGCGATAGTTCCATTCGTAGATCTGAGAACACTGAGTATAATAAAGCTTAGCGAGCAATTCGATTAGTTAGATTTCAGGAGAAATAATCATTTTTGTACATTTTCTTTGAGATTAAATGTTTTCTATGTTTCTCTCAACGCCGGTTTTATATCTCTTCATTTTTAAAATCAAATTCTGCATATATACCTCACTCCAGCCATAGCTCTTTGACAGCACGATCCTCCGTTTCTATGGCAACCGCAGCCACCACTTTACTTCTGCCTCGAACTAATATATATTATATCATGCATTGTACGTTAAAGGTTATGTTTGCTTCAAGATACTGACGCTAACCTTATTTTGCCTCTTACAAGCAATGTAGATTACAAAAGATCACGTTGCGACCTTGTATTTGTAGTATTTTTAGGGATTAAAGTTACTGTTATTCCATCAACCTTTTTTGAGAGAATGCAAAGCTGAGTATGTTATATTAAAACGATTTTAAGTAGGTAAATCAGCAAGTCACATGACGAACACAACTGATAAAAAGTTGCAGTGGAACGGCATGTATCAGAACTACATTTTGACGTAGGTAGTGCGATTTCCTAGAAAGTTAACCGCTTTTGGGAAGGACATGTAACGGCCCTTTCGGACGTAAAATCTTCATGCACTCAGATCATAAAGATGTTGTTCAGATTAATTACACTTAATTATATTGGAAAACAAAGAAACGTGGATCAATTTGGGGACAAGAATCATACAAAAAGAGACCTACAACAAGTCGTATCGCAGCCGTGGTAAGCAAAGTAAGGCATCTATGTAAGAATTTACGAGGACACAGGTTAGCGGCCAAAGTCGTTCAAGTATCCTATACAACATTACGCAACATAATCAAGAAGGGTTTCCATGTGGAAAACCGACATAAGTCACGTGTACACAAGCTTCTTCTATAACATGTCAGTTCTACTGTCGATATACCTAAAGCAGTATTCAAGCTGTTACATCTGAAGACAATAATCCTCAGGTGTGGAAGTTGGAGCTGTTTTATATTTAAATATAATCCTCAGTTTCTGGAAGTTGGAGCTGTTTCTGCTTACATTGCACTACCCTCTATAGTCACAATGGCTCTCCCACACAAGATGTAAAACTTTGCCTGAAGCACGTACTTCTTAAGATGTATGTATGTAATTCGATTTCTTTTTGACGACATTTATCAAGTTGAAAATACAAATTACATTCAACTCTGACGAATTTTTATCACTTCGAAAAATTAAATTATTGGAACTAAAGCCAGCAACAGAACATCTATGAATAATATTTTTAATGTTAGTATTTAGTTTACCATTGTTTCAGTTTATTTATGTGGCTTTGAAAGAATCAAATTATACGGATTATGAATTATTCGAATACCGAACATGAAAAGCAATGATTCTGTGAAATATGTAAATATTGCAACTGATGTTCATAATTTTTAACCATCTGTGTTGTTCATAATTTTAACCATCTGTGTTGTTCAAAAAATTATGAACAACACAGATTGATAAAATTGAACCACCAGTGTTGTTCATGATTTATAACCATCTGTGATGTACATAATTTTAACCATCTGATCTGTGTTGTTCACAATTTTAACCATCTGTGTTGTTCACAATTTTAACCATCTGTGTTGTTCATAATTTGTAACCGTCTGTGTTGTTCATAATTTTTAACCATCTGTGTTCATAACTTTTAACCATTAGGTTATAAGAGTGGCTGAAAATCTCAATTTTTGTGCCTCAGCGATGACCTGTTTCAGTTAACTACAAGCCGATATCCTTCTTAAAGTATTTTACCTAGAAAGCTCAAGAAATATTGTGTATCTTAGCTAACTGAATACCTCAACAACCATAATGTTTTTAAAAATTAAAATAAGTTAAAGGTAAAGTTGAAAATTTATTCATACCTAAAGAGTAGTTTAGATCACTTTATTTTTGATTGAAATTTTGTTTTGTTTTCAAGATATGAAAGTGAAAAACAAATATGTGATTTTAGGTGGATAAGTTAGGGACATTTCTTCTTATATTATGATCAAAGATTTATAAGACATCATATTGTTTCGGTAGTATTTTTGTTATAAACATATTTTTTTTCCGATTTTCTGTAGTTGCTGTACACCCTGGGACTGTGCCAAGATTTTAAGTCAGGTTTGTGTAATTGATCACCATGTCGCTCTGTTCATCTTTGAGAAGTAAGGTCCGTAATAGTTCTGAATAATTTACTTAAAAACTAACGAGTTATTTATTCTTGAAAATTTGCTTCCTTTAGTTTAAAGGCCGGGCATAGTCTAGTGGTTAGCGTTCCCGGTCGTGGATCAAAGGGTCCAAGTTTCGAGACGTCATGCTGCTGAAAACACTCCGCACGCTTAGCTTTGGGCGTGTTTTAAAAAATGACAGTCAATCTCACTATATAGTTCGTTCAAAGAGCCAGACAAAGTCCTTGTGCCGACAAGTATTGCTGGCTAGCTACTTTCTCTCTCTGGCCAGTTGCTTGAAATTTAAGGATTGCTATGCAAGAACCTTAAGAGCCTCTGACCTGGCTGTTTAGGCCACATGCCTAAGGTGTCATTCAGATTGAAAATTTCAAATCATTAGGCTCATTTATCATAATTATCTTTCCTGTTTATTTCTGATTGACTATCTTTCCTTCCTTGTAGCTAAGCTGTAATCGTGAGGGTTTATTTGGGTTTTGTTGAATTTCTCACAAAGCTACTCAATAGCTGTCATTCTAATTTAGAAATGATATATTACAGGGAAACAGCTAGGCAACACTACCTTATACCAACGAAAAGAGGAATTGATCGTCACATTATAATCTCTCCCTCGACTGGAAGAACGAGCTGTTCAGTGACGGGATATGAACACGTGAACCGCAGATTGCTAGGCGAGCGCCCTAACCATCAGGCTATGCCGGCCAATGAGGATTTATAACGCTAACTTTCGGGGCTCAATCCCCGTGTTGGACATAGCACACAAATAGTTCATTGAGTATCTTTGTGCTTAGCAATAAATAAACTGACAGAATAAAATTCCTATAATATTTTTAGATAATACTGGTTACTTTCAAACATAGTTTTTATTATATATTTTCGTCAATCATTTTCTAATACCATCTCCTTATACAATATCCGTAGGATTATTCTTTATAAAAATCTAATTGGTCTTATTTCTTATAATATTTATTTCTTCGGTACACTGCAGTGTCTAGAAACGTTCGTTTCGTTACATTCCGTTTAATTTCGAAACTCTTCTCTCTCCGAAATATCAAACCAGATGGTAAAGGAGCTTGACTGCATGGATTATTTTTGACTTTATTGAAAAACAGTTCCTTTTTTGTGTGAAAGATTCCAAATGGAGTCTGTTGTGTGAAAGATTCCAAATTGGGTCCATGCTTCCATACCTGAGCTTTATGCAAAATGATTTATATCAGAAATTTATAAATTTCAACAGCAGATTAAAGGCGAGAGCTTCTGCATTAATAAAGTATTGAAGCAGACTCGATGGTTTGAGGAATTAATCAAACGATATTTTTCAATTGTCCATTATGGATTGGTTAAGATTCTTTAATCCCAGAAGCTTTAAGATTTGGAAACAATAGCTTTCAGTTATCCAGTATGGATTCAGACGCTTTACTTTTGGGATATTAATCCTTGAAGCATGGAGATTTGGAAACAATAGCTTTCAGTTATCCAGTATGGATTCAGACGCTTTACTTTTGGGATATTAATCCTTGAAGCATGTAGATTTGGAACTATAGCTTTCAATTATCCAGTATGGATTCAGATGCTTTACTTTTGGGATATTAATTCTTGAAGCATGTAGATTTGTAACAATAGCTTTCAGTTATCCAGTATGGATTCAGACGCTTTACTTTTGGGATAGTAATCCTTAAAGCATATAGATTTAGAACAATAGCTTTCAGTTATCCAGTATGGATTCAGACGCATTACTTTTGGGATATTAATCCTTGAAGCATGTAGATTTGGAACAATAGCTTTCAGTTATCCAGTATGGATTCAGACGCATTACTTTTGTGATATTAATCCTTGAAGCATGTAGATATGTAACAATAGCTTTCAGTTATCCAGTATGGATTCAGACGCATTACTTTTGTGATATTAATCCTTGAAGCATGTATATTTGTAACAATAGCTTTCAGTTAGCCAATGTGGCTTCAGACACATTGTTTTAGTGACTTTAATTCCAGAAGCATGTAGATTTGGAACAATAGCTTTCAGTTATCCAATGTGGCTTCAGACACATTGTTTTAGTGACTTTAATTCCAGAAGCATGTAGATTTGGAACAATAGCTTTCAGTTATCCAATGTGGCTTCAGACACATTGTTTTAGTGACTTTAATTCCAGAAGCATGTAGATTTGGAACAATAGCTTTCAATTATTCAATGTGGCTTCAGACACATTACTTTTGTGATATTAATCCTTGAAGCATTGAGATTTGTAACAATAGCTTTCAGTTATCTAATGTAGATGCAGCTTAATTGTTTTAGTGACTGTAATCCTAGAAGAATGTGCGTTTGAATAAAGCAAAGTTATATATTTTTTGCTCTAACCATATCCTTTATTGAATAATTTAAAATTTCCATTGTTGTATATTTGTATTTCGTAAATAATAAAACTGTCTCACCGTTTTAATAACAAAAAATGCGGATTTCGCATGGATCACGCATATTTCGCTAGTTACTATTAACTTAGACTAATTTTTCTTAACATCCTTTATGATCAGAAACATTGTCTGTTGAGTGAATCTGTTAAGATTGTTTTATGTTTTATTACTTGTAATCGTTCATAAAAGTAACATACATTTTCTTTTGTTTTATTTTTTCTCTGCAGGTTTTGTGAAAGTTGTGGATGGGAAAGCGACAATGTTTCATTATTTGTTCAAAGGGAAATTCTGTTGCCCTTTATGCAAGTGCTATCATCTTCTTGCGGCCACGCCCTTTTTAGAGATCTTGGTGTAGTTATGCCAAGGTTTTATCTAGGGCTAGAGTTATAGGCTATCTTGTATGATTTTGCCTCTTTGGGACTAGGGGGATCCAAATAAAAGATATTTAAGTTGATGATGACGTTAAATAAAAAGTTGACGTGTATCACTAACCCTAATATATTCGATTGCGTGAGATCAAAAATGAAATAACATACTTCAAAATTGGTGAAATCTTTTTTTTTTCTCTCTCTCTCTCTCTTTAAATGCTGAAATTTGAACCGATGTTCGATGATGAATTTGAAATTTCTACCAAAAGAGTTTATATTTGATAATCATGAACTTGTTTGGAGCTCTAGTCACACATTCGACAAACATGAAAAATCTAAATCTCTCTCACGTGCCATTAATTATGACCACATTCGAGACGTATTTTTACTTGAAGAAGTATGAATGTTGAAGAAAAAGGTATTTTCAATTCCATATTACTTCCTCTCCAAACCAGCTCTTCTATGTTGTGATACTAGTTTTAAAATATATTTACATTTCTTTAACTGCAAATAATGTAGTATCATTTGGTGATGGGTTATGAACAGTTAATGTTTATGCAAAGTTAAAACACACGTTTTAATCATTTTTGGATTAAGAATGACCGACACATTATAAGATAATAAGAAATTATCAGATATAGGCTCATTTTGATGGCTATTTGTTACTTGAAACTTAAAAACAGACGACTATATTGTTGTATTTTTGAATCAGTTAACGTTAAATTTCAATTCAATTTGATTAACTTTTTTAAAATGTTTCCGTTAATTTATAAGTGTTAAAGTAACCCAATGTTTTTTTGTATTATACTACAAGCAAATGAAATAAATATTAAACCCTGACACCATATATATACATATATATATATATATATGTGAAAATATATTATATTGATAATTAATTATTTTTAAAGACATGAACTTACTTTAAAGTGTGTAGCTAAAACACCATAAACAGAAAGATAAGAAATGATGATGATATGAGTTTGTGTAAACTTGAAAAGTATAAGATTATGGTATGATAATATTTCTATTGATGGATGTGTTCATATCTTTGATTAAAAATTGAATGCGTTTCTCATACGTGATTTTGTTTTGTTTAAATATGGGTGTTACTATTAAGTTTGCACTATTTCGAAATGTAAGGAAGAAGTCTGTTATTGATAGGTTTTCTTCTATATAATATTTACACAGCTTCAAAGGTAGTTAACGATGGTAACGAAGGTTGTGTATTTTTTATTCAGCTATATTAACCATTATTACTAGTGTCCAAACTGAGTACTAATAGTCGTATGCGATTGAATGAAGTGATTGAATTAGCCTCAAAAGTCATTATGAAATATATCAAGGTTATGTGTTAAAACTTCCCCAAACTCTCTACTGGGTATTAAAAAGTATATATTTTAACGTTTGTGGTAAATCAATTCGGTTAAAAACCTATGTCAAAATGTGTGATGTATACACTATGATGCATACTGGTTGAAGTTTGAAGTTTCAGTTCAAAGATTGTTGGATTGAGTTACAAATATGCCAATTGGCGTATGCATTTTCAAAATTTGTAAGGTTTATGTTTTTACTCTCTTCAAAATATACACGCGAAATGTGAAGAACAACAGAAGCTTTTACACTTACACGTATTTCTCATGCTTGCAGGTCACAAAGTTTAATAATTTCATTACTTGAAGTTTCTCGGTCTTGCGAACACCCATTTCCTTGCAACATCGAAACCATGTACTAGGTTCTGCCTAAATTCCAGCTTCTCCAAAATTTGATTTGATTGGTTGGTATAAACATAACATCATCCACTTAAAGCATGAATTATCACCTTTACTACTCGTCTAGATCCAGGCCATCGATGAACATAATTAATCAAATGTTTGAAATTATCGAGCTTGGCAGACTTGCCACTTTTTTGTTTTTGACAAATCAGTCAAGCAAAATAAAATGGTAAACAAGGGAATGAGTAAAGTTCGAGTATTGGCTGAAAATGCTAATTTCATACTAAATGCCTCTGGATTTTGAGCTTTCAATCAGATATATTTTCATATAACTATGTTAAAAACGAGAGAAATTATCCCAACAAATAACAAATATATATCCTTAATCTGTTTGACGAGACTGTGACTGTAGAAAGCAACAGTGACACTAGTAATCCTTATACTGTGACTGTAGAAGGCAACAGCGGCTCTAGCTATCCTTAAACTGTGATGAGACTGTGAATATAGAAGGCAACAGCAACACTAGCTATTCTGAAGCTATGTTATAAGACTGTAACTGTAGAAGGCGCCTTTTATAGCTACAATTTCATCACATAGCTTTTAAGGGTAGCTAGTGTTGCTGTTGCCTTCTACAGTTACAGTCGTATCACACAGCTCCAGGGTAGCTAGTGTCGCTGTTGCCTTCTATAGTTACAGTTTCATCACATAGCTTTTAAGGGTAGCTAGTGTTGCTGTTAACAGCGACACTAGCTACCCTTAAAGTGTATGATAAGACTATGATTGCAGAAAACAACAATGATATGTTTTAGTGAAACACAATTTGTGGTAACAGAGCCACCCATGTTGCTATGTGTGTAAAGTTAGGGTTAAGCACTCAAATAAGTGTAAAAGTGTGATAAGCCGAACTAGGTACGTTCTGATCGTCCGACCTGGTTCTCGACGTGTGTTGATCCACACGATTTGTCCGACTCTTGACCCATCTAAATATGTGTATATACATAGATATATACAAATTGGTCACATTAGTTCTGTTTCTTTGTGTAATAATTATAAACAACTGGATTAGAGTAGCAAGATTGTTTAGGTGAGGTTTGCGTCGTCTCGGCTAACACGTGAATTTCTGTTTCTTTGTGTAATAATTATAAACAGCTGGATTAGAGTAGCAAGATTGTTTAGGTGAGGTTTGCGTCGTCTCGGCTAACACGTGAATTTCTGTTTCTTTGTGTAATAATTATAAACAGCTGGATTAGAGTAGCAAGATTGTTTAGGTGAGGTTTGCGTCGTCTCGGCTAACACGTGAATTTCTGTTTCTTTGTGTAATAATTATAAACAGCTGGATTAGAGTAGCAAGATTGTTTAGGTGAGGTTTGCGTCGTCTCGGCTAACACGTGAATCTTTTAGGTTGACCAAAAGCGGCGATATTCGTAGCCAATTACACGTGATGTATTTGAAGTGGTGAAAAACCAGTCACTTCTAATGATGTAGCTAGTGTGTTAGAAGAAAATAATTTTTTAATATGTAACTCAGTCTGTGATTAAAAATGTTCCTCATGTTTCTGTTCCAGGACTTTAGTCGTTTGTCATTAAACATAACAAATGTCACATCAAGTTCTGTCATTTTTATCTTGTAATGTGAACTCTTATTCACATGTTTGATTACGTCTAACCATATCATAACGCCATTTATAATCACACCTTATTGTATATTGCCAAACGTTTTAGTGAGAAAAGTACGTTGAGAAAGCACTGAAGGGCTGAAAAAGCACAAGTCCGATCAGTGACTCATTTATCAGAAGATGTGTATACTACTAATTATTCTTTATGGTAGTTTGTCATTTTTTATGATATTTTAGTGTTTTTAAGGTAAAAAGTAGAGACTTTGTAGTCGGCAAATTCAGTGTTTCTGTAATATCTGTGTATACTGTGCATGATAAATATTCAAAATGTAACATTGTTGCCAATTTAGTATGTACGTGAATGTTTAGACTATAAACTGTCCCAAACAGCAACGTCCAGATTTTCTTCGATAAACATAGTTTCAACATAAGATTTTTGAAAATTGTTTCAGGATAAAAAGGAATATTTCTCTTATGACCACTAGTTTTATTTAATTTTTGGACGTGTTTATGTAAGACTCTGTACTGTTTTTTTTTAAAGAATTTTTGTATGAGAAGTGATAATGATAAAATAAATGTGAACGATTTAAAGTTGATTGTTTCAGAAATGTTGACCATGAAACCAAGTGCCGTGAGCTTAAAAATAGTTAAGAGTCCAAGTTTCTACCATGCGAAACAACTTTTACTGAAATCTGTATGTTGTCGTAGTTTTCCATTAAGGCTCAAATTGACTGATATGAGTCGTTGATGTTTTATTGTAACAAAATAAGTTATAAAATCATAACTTCTAGAAATTATAAAAAATCCCAATCTAGACCTTGGTTTGGCTAATAGCTCTTATTTTGTTGTTAATCTTGGAAAAAAAAATGTTATTTGCTATCGACACTTGTTTCCTCTAAATGTGCACACAAGATTTTTTGTTTTTTAAGTCATACTTTTAAAGACAACTAACTTGGCCACTTTGTTAACGAATATTAAGGTGAAAAATTACTCTCTATATAGATTTAACTACAGTCTTTGTAAATTTCTGCTAATTTGAATTCAGGCATAAAATGAACGTTTTTTTCTTTTGGTAGTACTTATTTAACAAATTCTTTGAAGTTATAAATTTATAGTGTTGGTGTTAATGGGCAGCTGAAAGTGTCAGAAAAAAATCTTCTTAAAGTCACTTGTTCATGATTGTATTTGAACATTTTCGCCCCACTTTTGACTTTAATGACGTTCATTTAATGGTACATTTAAGGTCAGATTATATTGTGAAATGTTTTGAGTCTTAGAATGTGTTTTATTTTTGCTTTGCATTTGAAAATTTTCTGGTTTGTAAACCTATATTTCTTGATATTATTCATCAATTGTAATTAAGGGGTGTTTATTGTGTATACATACTTTGTTATATCTGAATATTGTTTATTAATGTTTTATTTTCCACTATAATGAGCTGTAAATATATTTGACATGGTGACAGTCATGGAGCCTTCTTCATGAGCGTGAACTCAAAGTGTAACTAAAGACTTTCAAGCCTTTCATGCCTCTTGAAGGTTAATTGAATAACAAGGCACTCTAACATAAAGTATGTCATGAATGTTTTTTTTTTTTTCAAAGAATATTACAAAATGTCAAACGTATGTATGTATATTTCCCAGCTACTCTTACAGAGTTTAAAAATATTTAAAGTATTATTTGTATGTAACCAAAGTAAAAGTGTGGAAGTAAAATTACTCATAATCGGACTAGTGCTTAAAGATTGCAATAGCTACATTGTTCAGACAGCTTAGGACTCTTTTCAGGATTTCAATAACGTATTAATTGTCATTCTGTATTAATTCTAATTTTAGATATTCTTATTGAAAGCCAAGTTGATAGTGATTCCAAATATCTCTCAGAATTGGCCCTTTAACTTACGCCGATCAAATGTTAGATGGCGTTCTTTCCACACTGTATCCCCTTCTCATGTAAATTGTGAGTTTAGACCCCTTAGCAGTTTTTTCTATCTTAATAATAAAAACGAGGATATTTAGGTTATTAAAACGCTCAATTCTCACTCTAGTAGTGTGGTTAAAACCATACCGGTGATTTAGGAAAAAGTCTATTTAAACAAAATAAAAGGTGCTTACAAATAAAGTTTTTAGGCATCGAAAAATCCGAATACCTCATTGAAATAATCAATATGGTCAATGGTCAATTTAAAATCAACAACATAGTTTCAAAATTGGCATTTTAAGTCTGTATTAATTTAGACTGCTCTTGTTCTGGCTCTTGAAGTGGGAGACATTTCGGAACTTTTATGCTGAATTGTGGCAATGTTTCGATGTCTACTTTGAGGTTCCTGGAAAATCTTCAGCATATAGCCCGAAACATCGTTTAAATTTAGAATCAAGACAAAAGTTTACCTGAAAGTTGAGTGAAACAACCTGACATTTATATTAAAAAGTAAATTTCTACCCTACGCAGTATCCTCTGTGATAAAATTTTGGAAATACTTCCCAGATTCGAGTTTTAGGTATTTCTTTAGTAAGTCGCGGACCTCCAGTTTATAAATAACAGTGTTTACTCAAATCAAACACCTGTCTTCAAAAAAAAAGAGCTTAAAAAACAGCCGTGATTATTGTTAAAGTTTATTGTATAAACACATGTTTCGACATGTTGTTGGAAAATCATGTGACAATACGTGAACATTTTTTAACGCCTTAAGTAATTGAAATGTAGTTACGCTTTATTATCGTGATTTTAAACGATTTAAATACAAATGAAATATGTTCTTATTTTCTATGAAAATGATTTAAAAATGAATTATCTTTTATGCTTTTTTATTTTCTTATGCTAAATCCAAAATATATAGATTAGCTTAGTATAAACTTCTATAAAACCGAAACTATCGATATATAAGTTATATACCTATAAAATAATAGTTATGACTCAAAAATAACTTTGTATTTGTCCCTGCTTATTTATGTTAATAGATACTGTAATTTGTAAAATTAAAGAAAAAATAATAATTATATTCTCTACATCAATGTAATTTTCAGAATAAAAATAAGGCGCCCTCTTTTTTTCCTAGAACAACGTTCCACCCAAACCAGAATGAAGCTATTAAACTCTTATTAGCTTTGACCAACGTATATGTTCGGAAAGTCATTTTGCTGTATAAGATTATTCATGATTATACAAACTGTGTTATTAAAAGGTAGTTAGTAACAGTGTTATATGAAATCTTGTTGAACAAATTCAGTATTGCATGTATAATTACTTGGACGAGTTCACGTCAGGAAGTAAGCACCGAAACAGTTTGGACCACGAATAGTAAGCTGATAGTTAAAAAGGACTGACATATGTCATGCTTATAGTGTTAAATAGATATCTACTTTATATACCTTAAAGAAAGTGTAAAAGTTTTAATATGAGTATGTTCAATGTTTCTTTATTGTTTTTTATTAATTAGTATTTGAAACAATCTGTTGTCAACCTTTTGGTGTTTCTGTGACAGATACTGGACTAGATACAGCTACTTCTGCCTAAACTATCCACGACACTTTTGGTGGTTAGGTCTAATGATGAATATATCGTGTATTTATTGAGATATATTTCTATTAGTAATGCTATCTAACAGACGTCAGACTGCAACTGAAGTCAGACTAGCAGACAATGCGTAATAGCTTAGGATATCGATATCAAATGGGATTTCTTTTCTTTTCAAAGTAAAAAAAAATGCTCAAGAAAAGAAACCTTTCATGAACAATTGTTGAAGGGCCTCAAAGTGAAACCAGATTGCAAGTGAAGCTGTTAGTGAATTAGCGCAACAAACACTGTTTCTCCATCTACCACATCACTTCTACAGCTTCGTGTGCTGAACCCAACAGATTCTAGGTGTTTACCGAACTTCCACACTCGCCACAAAAGAATATTAAATTTTGTAGGCTATGCTTGTTTTACGTTGATCAATAAACTGTATTACAACACGTGAATAACCTGAAAAATAAAGTAACATTTATACTGGAAGCAGTTCGAGCTATGTTTCAATTTTATTAGTATACTATAATCAGTTCTCAGAAACTGAGAGCAATACATCACTGACATGAGAAACACTACTTCCCACTAAACATAAAAAAACTCATTCAATATTGGATATCTGTATATACCAGTGGAATAATACGACTTAGTTAAAAGATGTTTTAGCTAAATCTCTCTCCCAGCTAATCCGTCACAGTATAAATAATTAATTTTAACCAAATATATCGTGATAATTGGAGATAGAAGTATCGTATTGTATGTTCGTTTGTTGTTGAGCACAAAGTAACACAATAAGATATGCCCACCACAAATATCGAAACCCGAATTTTTCAGTTTAAAATATATATATGTATATATATTGTGCTATTTTATTATATTTAGTTATAACAGAATGAATTCTGAATGAAAATCATGGAATTCTGTTACCTTTTCTTACGATTTCATTTTTATTCATTTCTTTTTTTTTTCGTACCTAGTGGCTTACAATGATACGACAAAAAAAGGAAGAGTCTTTATAGATAGCTGTTGAAAAATATTAAAAATTTTACGAAACATTATTAATATTTTTTTTTCACATACACGGATTAGTTTTTTGTCACATATAATTCGTTTGCTGTACTGTCATGTCTGAAAGCGAACTTGTTTCTCGAACTCAACATTCTGAAGTGACCAAAGTGGATGGCGCTTTTAGCCTGCTTCCCAACATGAAGGCTTCAGAACGATCGTTGAGATGTCATCCATCTAATTCCTTTCACTCGAAGAAACTAATTTTCCTCCAAAAACCAAAACGATTACATCGCCTCGTTTGCATATGATAATACATCATTTTCGTGTGAAATTAACAACTTTCAATGCCATATTCAATTAATTTTTAGATATTGAAGTTTTCAATGTCATATTCTATTAAATTTTAGCTGGTGAAGTTAATAGAGAAATGAAGATTGACCCACTACAAAAAAGTATTAACGCTGAAGACTTTAAGTTTGCACTATATATATATATACATGAACTCCATAATTGACCCACTACAAAAAAGTAGTAACGCTGAAGACTTTAAATTTGCACTATATATACATGAACTCCATAAAAGATTGTGAGTAGAACAGTTAAAAATTACACATCTTTAGTCAGATTTTAGACTTACAGAACTTGATACCGGTTATTGTAAGACATATTTCCTGAAAACATATAGATAAGCAAACGATGAAAACTTGATCTGTATATCATAAAATTAGTTTAATCAGAAAATGCCTTCTTTGCAAACACATAAACTAGGAAGACAGGTCTTCCCATGTTAACATTATTCATTACGATACTTTTTGTGAAACAATCTATTTTGTTCACAAATACAATAATTGTTTGCTAGTTGAAAACTTGATTAACAGTTTGAAACAATATTGTGCCTAAAAAAACAAACAAACTTCTTACTGTTTTCATCATCAAATATTTCTCGTTTAAACTTCTTCACGACAACATAGTTCAGATGTAAAACTTTTTTTTTCCTCTGAATTACATGCTCTTGTGTAAATTTTTAAGACATACTTTAATAAATTGTATTTTGTTAACACTCGGGTACATAACATGTTTTGTTCATTCAACTTGCGTTATACACACACGCACATACATTATATATATATACTAGCGAAAGTACCCAGCTTCGCTCGGGTTATTAGGTTGATAGGGTATGTATTCTGAACCCATTTTAGCATAAAAGTATAAACTATATACTTTTGTTGCTACGCAACATGACATAAAAGCCATTGTTGGAACGCATTGTTACCAAAACACACTGGCTTTTCTATATATTTGAAAGTTGTTATATAAGGAACCTGTTCTTTCCTAGGTGGTTTTTTGTTAGCTTCCTTCATTAAAATGAATATACCGACGTTTGAATGCCTCGACTGCACTTTTCTGCCACTTTGTTGATCAAGTTTGATTTCGCAAAATCGCACACACAGGCTCACAGACTAAAATTAAAATAATAAATGTCACCAAAAATTCTGTTACGTATCTCCTTGTTTGTTTGTTTGTTTCTGGTAGAAATTCTTTCAGAGGATCTTCAGCGATACAAGTCCGTTCTCGATTAAACCAATTTCTTCTTCGTTGATACAAACTTCTAGTACACAGAAGTTCCACAATCAGTACGTTTCTCGTCACTTTAAACTTAGCAACTTTTATAATACACGCTAT